AAGAAGCTCGACGACTTCTTCATCTATAAATCTATAAACAGCAAAGATATCTAGAGACCCCCATGCATTAACCATAAAACTTGTTCTGAAGACGTTCAACTTTGTTCTATTAATACCGTAGTGCAAGTGTTAATATATACTTTCAGACACATTTTGCTTGAACATGAGAGCAATGCAACAGGCAACCTTAAGTACCTTGTAAGCAATATCCTGTAAGAAAATATCCTGCAGTAACATTTAGAATAAAACTACATGGCCATTTTTAAATTCACAATCCTCTACTTTACATATTGAATAAAAAGCATTGGTCACTCGATGAAACAACAAAAATCATTTCCCGAGTACCTTTATACCAGTGATTATCACAACAGCACAGCTTCTGTAAGGGAAATATTTTCCCTCGTTTTCTCCGATAAAAATATCCCAGACGAAGTATTTCCATGAACTATCTCATTATTAAACTTTAAAATTCAATATTAAAAATAGAAATCCAAAACTCTCTTATTCTCACGATCAAACAACAAACACGAAATATTTCCATTAAATAAATCGTATACGAAGCGAAATCTTTGAATGTATTTACATTTTAATACGAAAAAGCTTGATTGATTCTTTGCGCAGGAAATTAACCACTTCAAACGAGCAGTTCAAATATCTCATTACCAAATTCCCTTTAACAATTCCACAGCCGGGTCGCCCGAATTTACCCGCATTTTACCTACGAAATGCAAGAAGATTAACATAGCAATCGCACTGAAAGATCTCAACTCTTCAATTTCTGTTTCGTCAGAAAAATAGCTCGAATTGCATAAGTACTTTCTAAGTGCCGGTCGCTCGATAAATTAACACTAGATTTGCGGGCATTTATACTACGCTTTATTCTATCGCTCCTAGAAGTCTACATATTTCTTGATATAGGTCGCGGAAATTAGAGTTCCAATAACGGACAATTATAACGTGTATTCGCATAATTGCACCAATCACAATCAACTTAAATTACAACGAAATCACGTATAAAACATTCAACATCCATCAAATTGATGGGTATCCTGTTCAATGCTATCCTATGCCGCGTATATGGCGGCACAAATCATTATATTCATCCCTGTTACTGTTGTAACATTCAAAACACATTAAGTATTGTATCATTCACTTCTATGAATTCGTTCCCGCGTGTAACTTATATTACGCTACTTTTTGGCAAATCAACTTGAAATACTTCAATTAAGGGTTGACACCAGCGTTCACCCCAAAAGATTCAGTGGAAACAACTCTCCCGCTTCCCCAATCAAAGGCAACTAATCGCCGACCCGCTAAGCACAGAAACTCCAATCGGAACGCGGACAGAAGTCTTAAAAGCTGCTCAGAGCACAATGGCGCGAGCCATCGTATCAGCGGCACGGGATCGAAGTAGGCCCGGAGCAGTGACACCGAGTGCTCGCCGTTAATAAGTCGTCGTTTCAAGACGACTTTAAGCGTGTATTGGTTCGGGGACAAGTGTAATTCCTGCCAATCAGGCTCGCCGCGGCCGCAACAGCCTCCTGCAAGAGAGCCGTACTACCTGTCCCCAAGAGTTCGAGCACGTGCTGGCTGGGCTTCTCGGGCAGCCGAGCCTTTAAACTCGGGAACCGGCCCTCCCTTCGAGTAATTATGTACCTGGCGGAGGAATATTTCGGTATGCGTGCGCGGAAACCGGTGCAACGGAGAGAAACCATCGAGGGAGACGCCGGCGAGCGCCTCTCGCGTAAAGCGGACTCTCTCGCCGGCCGGTCATGGGAAAATAGGACTTTTTAAAGCGTCTCGCGGCGCAGAACGATGGAGTAACGGGTTGTTAGAGGAAAATTACCGCGAAGCCGATCTTTGTGGTTACAGTTACCGCGCTCGTTTCTTGGCACTGCGCCTCTTCGTCTTTCCTTCCATCTTCTTCTTCTTCTTCGTCTGTTTTTTCTTTTTCTTCTGCTGTTTCTGCTTCTTCTTCTTCTTCTTCTTCTTCTTCTTCTTCTTCTTCTTTTTCCGGTTCCTCCTTTTTCTTTTGCTGCGTTGATGGCTCTCGCTCGCTTGTTTCCCTCGACTGTTCGTCTTCCTCTTCGTCGACTTCGCGGTGGCTAAAAGATTGTCAATTCCGCGAGCAAAAAGCAGGACAACGGTGCCTGCGCGCTCCCCCGGAGAAGAACGGCGCGGCGGAACGTTTAACGCGCGAAAAAGGAAATACGCGGAAGCGGGCAGGATACGCGGAATCCGCGGGAATTAAGATCGCCGGCGGGTTCGTTCCGGAATGTGGGAAATCGCGGCGATGATGTTCGACGCGGGGGTTCGCCGATTATTTCGTTTACCGGTACGGGCGTTGCGGTGTACCGGTGGTTGGTTAACTGTCGGAGTTATTTTTGACGATGTTTAACGGTTTTGATGCTTGACAGCTTTTCCCTGGAAATGTTTAATGTTCGACGGTGAGACGCGGGCGATGTTTCTTTTGGAAGTAATTGATGGGAAAATACAGATTAAGGGACGGGGCTATTTTATTTTGGTATTTTGCTTGTTGGTGCGTTATACGAAGTTTCATACTTTATATATCAGAATTTAGAATTTTGATATACTGAATCAAGCGATTGAGAGTCATCTGTCCGGAGCAAAGGGTTAATTACAGTCACTCGTTGAAGAACTGTAAATGTTTTTTAATATTCTATGGATTATAGAATATTTGTTGCTAATTTGATACTGTTGACTTTCGACTTCAAATATTTAAGATAAGAGGAGTCTGTGCTGAATTGCTATGTTTAGTTATTCAAACAGTTAATTATGTTGTAAATGGTATTTTTATATACTTATAAATGCCGAAGATAATTACGTGATTCTATGAACGTAACTCAATACTGTAATTCGTAATACAATGCGTGTAAAAGTTATATAAATTGGAGCACTACTTCGATATCTACACGATATTTATACATTTTTTCTAATAAAATAGAAAATGAAATTTAAGCGACGAAATGTTGGATTACGAAAGCGTAATAGTGGGTGCAATTGGCTGTTAATATCGTCAGTTTCTCGGCGATCTTTTATACGCCTAATTTCACTTTTACGAGAATTCAGACATCCAGGCGAAATACGGTATTTACTATTAAACGCCCCATAACTATTCAATGTTTAGATACGTTGCTCCAGGCTTATAATCATTCACAGTTTCGTCTATAATTGAAGAAGTATTCCAATAAATGTCTTCGGCGCCATTTTAACTGCAGACTGATTTGAAATTTTGAATTTATGCTACCACTAAAGTCAAAACTAATACCATTGAACGCAGACGAGTTAAGTGAATTGATTTGTGCGGGCGAAGATTTAGGTTAGTGCTTTTCCAAGAAGTTTTGTCGAAATCGACGCATGACACATCGCGTGTTCCCCTTGTCAACTTTCAACCGTGCTCGAGTCTAAAGAGGACCATAAAGTCGAAAATGAAACGTGAGATGAGCATCTCTGAAGCACGTGGCCATTAGACCGGAAGGTTAAGTACCATCAATGATACCAAATCACCATCGAAACCAATTTCAACATTTATCACATCTCCGCTTTAGTTTCTCTTTCTCAGCCTATCGTAAATTTTATTGATACTTCTATGTAACAGTCAAAATATGTCGTAATTAAAACGAGCCATCGAACCGAATTTCATTAAAGCTCAATGTTCAAGTGCAACCGGTCCGACACTCGAATCAACTCCCTATGAACATTAATGAACTGCACATACAGATTAAATGTCATCGAATGAAAACATTGTGCTAACACAATTTTATTCATTTTAGTATTCAATCTCAATTTGAATTTCTAAATTCGTTTACATTGCTGGACACAGCAATTGAAAACAGCTCTTAAGCATAAAAAGTTCCATTTCCGTTTAATATTAGAACTACGTACCAGTCAAAATGACTGGTTGCAATTCCTTCCTTTCGCAATTATAGATATCTTAAAAGTATTGAATACTCGAAATGATCTTAAAAATAAGTAGTTTCACTTGAATGCTATAATGAATATCCGCAGAAACTAAAAATAATTTATTGTTAGAACTTTTATAGGGACCACATACTAATCCTGTTAAATGCTCGGTAGTTCTAGTGTTAAGAACACTTGCATGTAAAAAGTTGAACTGGTAATACCAGAAACAGATGAGAGTTAAATAAAAAAAACTCTGATCTTCGTTCCCCAAAAGAAAAAAGGTCATTACATTTCTGCAAAATATACTAAAATATCCACACAAAGAGCGTGTTAAGACATTCACTGAGAATTTCTTTTGAATAGTGATACTTATTTTTTAATAACAAAGGCAAATGATACTGAAAATAATTATTAACACGTTGAATGCTGTGGGGATCACCGGTGACCCCAACCAAACTGAATTACTATAGTTTACTCGATGAAACGACCATTATTAGGAAACATTTCTATATTACAAATAACGCTACCTAATTTCGTGACATTCAACTATAACGTGCAATAACAATGCAATCCACTCAAATGATTTAATATCACAGTTTTTCCATTTTCTATATCTTGCTTTATAAAATCGTGCGGCATTCAACGTGTTAAACTAAGAAAATAATTTTAAGTTAATACTCCAAAAGGTGTCTTTTGACATCTTCGGTAGTTCTAGCGTTAAAGCGCAGTTGCTCGTGGTACGTACGGTTGCCAGTGGTCCGCGCGTTTCCTTTTCACCGTTACACATCTGTCGGCAATAAAAACTCTGCCCTCGCGTGTCCAATTCGAACGATAACCAGCCTCGTAATCCCGTAAGCGAGGCCCATCCGAATGTATCAAGAGCGAGGAAAAACAAGAGGTCCAGAACAGAGGGGTAAGGTTACGACGTCTCGAGTTAATGCCGGTTGATCCGACCGAATTTTCTCCCGACCTCTCGAACTCAAGGGGAGAAGAAGACCATAGACGGAGAGCAACAAGGCGAACTTGAGTCGCGTAGTGCGTCGTGGTGGGTTTCCAATAGCGCGGGAAAAACTCACCTGCGATATCAGTTTCGGCAGTGTGTGCGTGTGCGGGTGCGCATGCGCATGATTATTGTGTCCTGTCGAGGACCGGTCCACGTTTGGCCGTTGTTGTTGCTGTTGGCCGGCATCCGATCTGAGATCGTGCCTCCACCTCAGTACACCCATCATAACCGTCCGCTGATCCTCTTCCCGCACGTAAGACCACCGAAAAACCAGAGTATCCTCTCTCTTTCTCCCCCTCTCTCTCTCTCTCTCTGTCCGACGGATTACGCGTAGAACCAGTTCGATCTCGATGGCTCCGACCTAACCTAACGCGAGTGTCCTGTTGCACCCTTTATGGTGTACAGGCTGCACACCGCGATCCGTAATCTCCCCGACGGCACGGTGGATCGTAACCGAAATTCGACTTGGCCACGGGTCGCGCGTGTACAAGACACACATACGTGCCACCGTGCACGAAGAGACACTCGTACCGCCGACCAGTGTCCGATTGGCAACGGGGAATCGACGCCAGGACCCGCGTATGTACGTGGAAATACAGCCGAAAGACAGCGTACAGGTAGATTCGCACAGTCAGAACGGAGGAGGTTCGATCGGTAACCGTGGTCGACGAGAAAAACCACGGAAAACTTTCGCCGCCGAGACCTCGGTGAACGGCGGCAAGTCAGCGTTCCTTGTTCACTGACATTACACGCGCGTGTCCCACCGCGGTACAGCCACACCAAACAACTAGGATCCCGTTCGATCGCGGTTCACTGGAGGCTGGTACACGCGACAGTCCGTTACGACCCTGACGTTCACTGTCATTCTCGTGATTCGATTCTCGCGATTCTAACGGCCGATAAAAACTCGCACAGAATTGTCACTGTTGTGTGTATGTATGCGTGTGTGTGTTGTGTTACTATGAATGTGTTGTGTGTTTCTATAGACGTGTGAGTGTTTCTGTGTGTCACTCTTTCCCCGGGCTGTTCACTCCGGGGCCACCTCTGCCTCGTCGCCCACGTTTCGATCTACCCAGCGAGGTCAGAATAGAAAGTGTTTACAACCGTGGGCGCGTTCGCCAGAAAGGATTCGTGTACACGCGCGCGCGCGCGCTCGCGCTAAACAAAAGCGGACACAACGGAGGAACCGTGACGGGAGTGGGAGAGAAACGCCGTGCGGGCAACACCGGCTACGTAGAAGTGCAGAAACGCGACTGGCATCGGAGACCGTACGATTCGAGAGGCTTGCCTCGTCTGCT